CCGTTCACCCCTTTATTGGGACGATGTTAGAGAAAGTCGAGTTCTTGGACCAGAGATGATTGAAGAGACGGTTGAGCAAGTAGCCTGGATTCGAGAAAGGCTAAAGACTGCTCAGAGTCGGCAAAAGTCTTCCGCCGATAAGCATAGAAGAGAGATGCAATTTGAAGTTGGAGATAAAGTTTTCTTGAAAGTTCGACCGATGCGAGGGGTCGTTCGTTTTGGGAAGAGAGGCAAGTTACATCCTCGATATATAGGTCCATTTGAAATTTTGGAACGAGTTGGAGAAGTATCTTATCGCTTAGCATTACCTCCGGAGTTATCAAGTGTGCATAATGTTTTTCACGTATCGATGTTACGTGCTTACGTGTGCGATCCCGAGCATGTGCTGAAGCACAATGAGATTCAGATTCAGCCTGATTTAACTTATGAGGAGCAGCCAGTAGCAGTTTTGGACCGAAAGGTTCATCGGCTCAGGAATCGAGATATTCCCCTCGTTCGTATTAGATGGAATCGCCACGGAGAGTCAAATGCCACTTGGGAGAGGGAAGCTGATATTAGAGCTCGTTTTCCTGAGTTTGCGTTTTGAGGTATGTTTGTTTTTATATTTCCGAGGACGGAAATAGTTTTAAGGGGGGTAGATTGTAATATCCCTTTCAGTTATCTCAGTTATTATGAGTTATTGTTCCAAGAAATAAGTGATTTCGAGTCCAAGATAGTAAGTTATCGGACCGAAATTAAGAATTTTCAAGGAACAAGCCACACGAGTCGTGTGAAGAGACACACGAGTCGTGTGAAGCCACACGAGTCGTGTGGAGAGGCACACGAGTCGTGTGGGATGGAGACGTGATGAAAGTTAGCCTCGGGATTTTGACACGAGTCGTGTGATGAGCCACACGAGTCGTGTGAAGCTACACGAGTCGTGTGATATAGTACACGAGTCGTGTGAGAAGATGAATGATTAAGAGCAAAAGTGTCGGCAAGCCACACGAGTCGTGTGGCAAGGCACACGAGTCGTGTGAGGCCACACGAGTCGTGTGACTCCCCCACACGAGTCGTGTTGCCGACAGTCCAATTGGATTATTGAGAATTCGATTGTGACTTTAACCAAAGGCCATTTTTGATGTTTAAATATGCTTTGGATGGATGAATAAGTAAATCATAAGATATTTTAAAGATTATTTAAGTTTATAAGTTAAATTTTATATTATGATCATTTAATCACTCTATTTGGATGTTTCTCCAATTTGTGCCTATAAATAGAGGCTTAAACCTTAGAGTTTTTACACCAAAATAATTACTAAAGTCATATGAGTTTGTGAGAGAGAGTGAGAAGGAGTAACTTTGGAGAAGTAAGGACATTAGAGTGAAGAATCAAGTTTTTAACTTCACCTAGAAGGAGGTAATTTACTTATCTTAATGTTTCATATTTGAGTTCATGCTTTTATGATAAGTTTACATGTTTATGAGTATGTATATCATGATGTAGAAGTTGGAGTTTATAATTGATAAAATGAGTTAAAGATGTTAAAGATCAATTATGTGATATATGTGCTTAATGAAATGAGATGTTGATTTGCATGAGATTTTCATGAAGATATGAATATGCTGGAAAAGTATGATTTAAATGAATAATTCTTGTGTAAAAGAGGAGTACATGAGATCAAGAATTGAGTGATTTGGCATAGTATAACTTAAGTTATGAATTTTTGAAGATGAACATGTAAGATGAAGTTTATGTTCACTATGACTTTAAATTCTCATAACTTGATGAATATGAATGATTAAATTATGAAATTTTGATGACATGTCTATTTAGAAGTTGAGATTATGACTGTTAAATTTCATAATTTAAAGATGAGAAATGAATGAGTTATGAATATGAGATGGCATATATGTGAAGATGAGTATATATATATGCAAGAATATTCATGAGATGATCAAGATATTAAAATGAGATTTTTATGATCTATTCTCATATGAGTGATGAGTAAATTTGATGAAGATGGTTTAATATGTTGAGCATACAATTTTATAAAAATTGTATTAAGTATGGCATATTAATATCATGATTGGATGTGATGTTTAAAAGATGAATATGATTGAGTTTAATTTCACTTTCAAGATGTAAAAGTGAAAAATGAGTATGAGTAAATATGAATGATTTGGAGAATATGATATATGATGAGATTGATTGAGTAAAAGATTGAGAAAAGTTAATTTGAGAAATGATATGATTATTGAAATTTCTATAAGATTTGAATAAGTTATCCGAATGAATTGAGAAAACCGAGCATCTTATTGAGTAAATGAGCATAAGTACTTAGTATATTTGTTTATATATTTTTATGTAGCTTGAGGAGGTTGCTATACGAGAACAACACTTACGAATTTACAAACGACGAAAGGTGGGGACCCAGACTGGGTATTACATTGAGTATAATATTGATATCATGTCCGAGGTATGTAAAAGTTTAAGTTTATACGCTTGGGAAGAAGGCTGATGAGTTGCCTTACGAGTATTTCCTAAGTTCTAATGGAGGCCGTTGAGTTGCCTGAGAAATATCCATTAGATTGTGCACAAGTATCCGATGAGATATCGGTGAGATGAAGTTGAGATACTGGAGGAGTTTAAGTCCAGTTATATACCGGAGATCATGATATTGTATTATTATTGCTGTTTACTTTAGTATGGGTGTTTTTCGGGGTACAAGAGGATCGTACTCACCCCCATTGTGTTTTTCAGGAAACAGGGTCGGGCCGGAGGTGTGAGCTCGAGACGTTGTGGTGGTGGTTGTGCATTTCCAAGGATTTTTATGAAGTCTTTAATAAAGTTTGTATAATAAATCACGCTTTCGATTATTCCGCTACGCATATTGACTATTGAACTTGCATTTTCTTAAATGAATTTATGATTTGAAGTTTTTATAAATTTGAGAAGGATGGATATGGTTAAATGCAAGTTTAAAGAAAATCTATTTAATTATGTCTAAAAGAGTTATTAGACAAGAGGTTAAAGATAAATGGATTTTCAAGATGTAAGGTTGAGTAGCATCCCGAAATAGTCGCAAAAGATTTCGAAAGAGATATAAGTATTTTCGAAGTAAAAGTTGCGAAAAATTTACTCTGATAAGCGGGGTGTTACAGAATAAGTACTTATGTTTTTAAGCAAAATACAAGCACTGTTTATATTATTATGTCTACACATTGATCTAACACCATATATTTTCGTTTATCAAAAAATAAAAAAATTAAAGAACTATTATATTCACAATATAAGTTAATTTCAACAATAAATAACCTTAAAATTGAACAAACATCAACCATGAAAAAATATCATCCAAAATGACAAAATACGTTCAATTAAAACATTTAAATGTATCAAAAAGCAAAATCCCAACATTAAAAAACATATTGTTTTCCCTGATTCAAAAAGTCATGAAAATCAAACCAAACAAAATCATTCTAATAGACTAAGACGGACGTCATTGGGCAACGAACCAGGAGAATCGTCATCACTTCCACACTCCTTTTGCTGCTTCTTTAAACCGTGGGTGTACAACAAGTACGTATACCTTTCCCTCTCGATGTCAACATCAAAGTTCTTTGTAGTAATATCAACGTCAGTTATCATGCGCTCCGCAAAAGATACCACAAATATTCCACAGTCGCTGTAAAACATAAATTATATGTAGTTTAAAAAAATATATATAAATATCATAGTCAGAATATATATCAAACAAAAAAGAATAATAATATTCCAACCTGTTGAAAAGATGGAACTGAAAGTTTTTATTATTATTATTTTTATATTTTGAGTTTTTTTGTGAATTCAAACCTGTTCAGTTGATGTGGGATGTTGGTCGCCATCATAACCTCAAATGGGCTGTTAACGTCTGTTGGTATCCACCCGCCGGCATCAGTATTGACATCACTCCTTTTTTTGTAAAATTGCACCACCTCAAGAAAAATTGGGATCAATCGTACATACGCCTGTACACTTTCTAGTACAACCGCATCAAAATCAACAGAACGATACGAGTTATAAACCCAAAACCTCATATCAGTGAAGGACAATCTACCCAATATCCAGTGCCCAATACCATTTAGTTCCACGTGCATTTTAAAAAAATGTTATCAACTTCAAACCATGACAAGCCGCATATAATTCTATATCCCATAATGTAGTCAACGATAATATCATGAACAGAGCATAACCCATTGTTGCACGATTGTGAAACGTATAGAGCATATAACGACTTGATGTGTTGGTCAAAGAACACATCAGTCGTCGTAAACCTAACCTCATCACAACCATACAACCCAAGCTTTCGTAGGTAGTAGAACAATACATCCATATGTTGTACATGATGAAAAAAATATGATCAAAATATATATATATATATATATATATATAACAAATTATAACAAAAATATTGTATAAACGACAAAAAATAATGAATATATAAGATTAAACTTACGCTGCTATCAAGGAAGCATCCCGACTCGTAAAGTGTGTAAAACCAGTTTTTATCACACACAACAACAACATTGAAATCAAATGGTGGGTCCAATTTCCTGTTTCTTTTATCATAGTAAACCATCCTGTTGAATTAAAATATATGCGAGAATATTTGAAAATATTATTCTAATTTACAACAACCAACAATAACATAAAATAATATTTTATTATGTAGCAGGAATATAAATCTCAGTATACAAATATGAATATACTGTACATATATTGTGAATATATTATGAGTACCCTGAGCATATAAGTTTGATATACTGCGCATATACCGTCAATCTACTATGCATATTCAATTTTAAAAAATTGTGAATTCATTTTATAAATTATAATATACTGTGACTAAGAAATTATAATATAAGCATTATAAATTGCAAATATAAACAGTATATAAGACCCTTATCAACAGATTATTGTAAGAGTTCAATAACATTTAGAACATATATATTATAAGAATATTTTTCGTACCCGTCATTTAACTTGCGACCTCTCTTGAGTGAACCATCATATACCACTTCAGAAAATCGCCAGTGTTTAACTTTCGAGATCTACTCCAGAAATCAACATCAAAGGGACATGACTTCGAAATGCTTTTTCCTTTCTTGATACAGCGTTGTCTCCTTTCAATTTTTTTTTTTTTTTTTTTTTTTTTTTTTTTTTTTTTTTTTTTTTTTTTTTTTATTTCTGCACACCCTAAAACCGTGGTGTTTGGTTTTGGTATCACTGCAACTTCATAGCACGGGGGTTGCACGATGTTCATCTTTACAATTTCTCCAGAGGACATCTTGTTTAGAGTCTCATTTGGTATCTCCTGAAATATAAAAGAATTGTGATAATATATATGCTATAGCGAATGAATTAGTTGTGTAATATAATAAAAATGAAAAGTAGAATAGAGTATGACCATTGGATGGTCTTGTGGTACTTTGTTGTTCACTTTCAATTGTTGTGTGGATGGGAGCCCTTCAATGTTTATATCAAAGGATGGCGGAGTCAATGTCAATGCGCTGCCGACATCTACCCCCTTGTGGACATCAACTTCCAGGTTTGCAATAATCTAAAAAATTAAGGATAAAAAATCATCATAAGTATAAGTATATATATATATATATATATATATATATATATATATATATATAA